ACCCCCATTTTAATTTCGACTTTTATTTTTAATTTCGACTCCTGTTTTTAATTTCGACTTTTATTTTAATTTTGACTTTTATTTTAATTTTGACTCCCATTTTAATTTTGAAATATCAAAATTTTGAAATGGCATTTTGAGGTCAATTTCGAGATATTTATATTTCGGGTTTCAGGTTCCAAAATAATTTTGCATGCAAGTATAATCTAGACTTTAAATCTATAAACGGTATTGTATCACCCAATTTAATTATAAAAACTGACTTAAAAATAATCAAAAAACAGTAATTAGTATCTGTATACATGAAGAAACAATAAAATAAACATTACAATACTCCTGTTAACCTTTCTAAACTTTGAAATATCTTATAATTTTAATTTATTTTTAATCCTATCAATCTATAATAAAAATAATCAATTTAGTAGACTTGTAATCACCAAAATCAAAAAAAAGAAACTATAATCACTAAAACCAAAAGAAAAAACCTACTATCACTGGTTGAAAATTGATAAAACATACATACATCGGATACCCGATATGTACATGGTACGTTCCTAATATCAGGCATATATCGGGTACCCGATAGGTGTAGAAAATATTTTTTTATACTTATCAGGTACCCGATATATATAAAATATTTTTTACACCTATCGGGTATCCAATATACACCCAATATTAGGAATGTACTATGTACATATCGGGTACCTGATATGTGTATGTTTTATCAATTTTTGACCAGTGATTACTTCAACAATTTCAGCTGCCAGTAAATATGTTCCTCTATTAATTATCTACAAAAGTATCTGCATGATTTCAGGTTTATTGTCTGAAGCTTCAGCCAGTAGTATCATAAGATTTACTGATTCTGGATATATGAAAGAGAATCTCTTTCAAATGTATATTAATCACTTTATTAATTTGATTCCACCTGTTCACCTAGTTTTTCTAATACTTGATGGTCACAAGAGTCATGTTAATTATTTAAGTGTTAATTTTTGTCATGAAAATATAATTTTATTATTCACACTTCCACCCCACACTATATATATTCTTCAGCCATCTGAAATTCTGTTTGCTAAACTTAAGAAAGAGTATAATAAAAGATATGATGAGCTTTATAGTAGTAGTGGTGAACTAGTGACAAAATGTATATTTGCTAAAGTACTTGAAAAAGCTTTTAATACAACCTACACTCTTATGGCAATTACTAACACTTATAAAGTTATGGAAATCTGACCTTTTAATCTTGCTACAATTAGTGAAAATCATTTTGATCCTTCATTAATAATTGAATAACTTCAAGAAATTGATGATATACTTCTAGAAACTGATGAAGAAGCTCTTGAAACTGATGAAAAAATTCTAGAAACTGATAATAAAATATCTCAACCAACTTATATATATTTTACTAGAGCTAGTATTATTGAAAAGACAGAACTATTAGAAGAAAAAATCATAACTCTCAAAGAAGAAATCGTAACTCTTAAAGAAGAAAATAAATCATTAAAAGAAGAAATTTTATTATTAAAAAGAAGCAATTCATCAATTCAAGAAGAACTTCAAATATTTAAGAGTCCTGATACTTGTCCCATTGAAGCTTGTGCTGAAATATCCTACTCCTCAACTTTCACAATTCACTAATAAATTAAAGACTAACAATGGTGATGCTTTAGTCTGACCACTAAAGAGAAGGAAAACCTTGCCATTTGCTTAGCTTATTATTAATGAAGAATTGTTGCAGGCATTAAGGAAAACAGAAGAATTAGTACAACAGAAAAAAGAAGCAGCTCAATGAAAAAAAGAGGAAGCTCAAAGGAAAAAGAAGGAAACTCAAAGGAAAAAGGATGAAGTACAAAAAAAAATGAGCCGAAAGAGAACTGGAGAAGACACAAAAACAAAATAATGTTCTTAAAAGATGATAAAAAAAAATTATCAATCTGCATCAAATTATCCTCTTAAAATTGAAATTATTTAGTACTAGTAGAAGGTATACAAACTACAAGTTACTCATTATTTTTTTTATTAAGATATAAAATATAATAAAAATTATGTAATATTAAATAGAATTTACAACCAATTGATAAACTTCTATTATTGATGAATAAAAAAATTTTTTAACTATATTATAATACCTTCCTTTACCTTATAAATTAAGAAAATTGAGAAAAATTTTTTTTTCTATAAATAGATTTTTTCAAATGTTCAAATACTATAATATAAAAGAAATCTAAACATTGAATTAAATTTTATTTAAAATTTTTTAAATTTCTATTATATAAGTTCCATATTGTAGAAAAAAAATATTTAACAAAATTGAAAAACATGGTAACAACTAGTTGATTATAGATCTTCTGTAGTGATACTAATGTTGGAAACAAATTGGCTAGATATGTAAAGATGATTCCCGAGACTCATAAATGTTTGAAGTAAATTTTTGATTGTCAGAGATAAATATTAGTGACATTTATGTTAATCATGAAGTTTTTTTCTTTACAGTCTTGCATACTATATTTTATTATTAACAATTATTTATTTTAATTATTTTTTTTATTATGTATTCTTATCCTTTGTTAATTGTTATTAATTATTTCTATATATTTTGTTTTTTTATTATTATTGGAGTTACAATTTATTTAATTTGTGATCCATCTGCAAATCAGTGAAAATCTATTAGTATTAAATCTCAATGAACGTGACTTTATTATAGAATTACATCTGGATATAGATCGTTGCCAAGATATATTTGCAAATGTGATGGCATTTAAAGTGAATTATGTCAAACACTTACTGTTGCAATTTGCAGTGTATACAAAAGAATTTTTGAAACAGAAATCAAATTTTCAGGGCCAGCAGTAATGGGTCTGCTATTTTCGATGTTTTGCTTCAAGACCTACAATTTCAACCATATTTTATTTTCCTAAACAAATTACGAATTTGGATATGGGTATAGGAAGATCTAACAGAACTGAATGAAATTTTGTTGATATTGGTTACAAGGCAACTTTTATATATACATTTAAAAACGAAGATGTGTCTTCATTTAAGAATTCGAAGAAAGTGAAAACACACAATTTATACGGGAACAAGTATAAAAATAATTTTTTTTACTAAATATAATTCTGAATCCTTGTGAAAAAAAGTTGGTATTTTACAGCAATATAATAGCAAGTTTCTTTTTGGTTTAGAGGATTCTCATATGCAACACTTAATTAAAATGTTACATATGATTGGAATAATTATGATATAATGAAACCAATTTTCACATCTTAAACGCATAATTTCAACATGACAAGAATTTTTCAATCAATGGCTTATTGAATTATCAATGATTATTGAATTGAGAACACAATTAAAAAAATTGTACCCAATTGATCATGAAATTAATGTGCGTAAATTTAGAGCTTGAAAAGTAGAAATTATACCTTTTAAAAAGATCAATTCGAGATAAACGATACTTGTCATCTATTTTTTTTTTTTGAATTAGATATAAAAAATTTTTTGTATTGATTATAATTGTAATTTTTATAGATAAATTTTGGTCAAGATCATTTACTCCTGAAATCGATAAAACTATTTTAAATATATTATACCTGAAATCGATAAAACTATTTTAAATATATTATATAAGTAAAGATTTTTAACCCCAGTACCTTCTCATTTTATAATTAAAAATGTGAAATACTGAACTTTATCTTTATTGTTGTGAAATAAAGTAACTATTATTTATCACAAATGATAAATTTTGGAATATAAACCTGAAATATTAAACTGTGAGTTCAATAATTGATCACAACATGATTTAAGTCATAGAACCTTGGAATAATTATCAATAAAGATAATACGAATAAATGTCGAGACTTAATTATAAGTCATATTGGACTTTAATATATCGGTATAAAGTCAATGAAAGATCTGATTCCCTTTCTAAAACAACTGAATCAGTAATGCCTTCTATAAACGATCGAATGAATAGTCTTGTACTTCGGGAATAACTATAAACTCCTGAAAGAACCATGTTTTTGAAGGAAGTCAGATGACAACGGGATGAATAGGACAAGTCTATACAGGTTTAAGATTTCCCTTTTTAAATAATTTTTTTTTCGCTTGCACATTATTAGATATCTTTCAATAATAGTAATAATAATAAATGACATATGATGTTCTGTTCCGATAGTTCTTGACTGAACCTTTACTAGTTTTCTTTTTATTGATGAAGCACACGAGAGAACTTTACACTGGATATTTTATTTGGTTTGGTTAAGGTAATTAATATTAAGTAATAATATTACCTTTTGAACTTGTTGCCAATTTTAATTTCTAGTGCAACTGATTACTTTGATGAGGCTGCCTATTTCTAACAGTAGAATTTTTATTATCATTATAAAGTTAAAATGTGTATTTTATGTTAATATGTTTAAAATTTTTCACTTTACCTCATAGTTCCTAGTAAACCATATCCAGTGCAAGTTTGCTATACTAAAGCACTCGAGCAAATTATATCTACAGCAATTACCGCGGTTATGTTCCTTGGAATTGCCGCAATTCTCCAGTTTATTTCATTGACTAATTTATCTTGCTTCAATAATGTTATAGTAAAATATATTTGATAATGGTATAGGCCTAGATCAAAAAGAGTGGTGATATTTTGGTTTTTCTTACTGTAAGGGGTATCAACGGATTATTATACGTGTGAATTTAATATCTCTTTATTTTATATATTAAGGGTCAAGATGGTTCAAGAAAGTTTGCAGCAGATCTTGGAAGTAAAACATGGGAATCGATAATATGTCCCATCTTCCACATAGTATGCAATCTAAAATTTTTGAACCAACACCACCTGGAATCCGAAAGATAGTACTTTTTTTTTAACAGGTTTGATTGGATTGTTTTTGTTAGAGAATCTTATCAAAAGTAAATCTGAAATGGATTCTCTTTTATGAATTGATTCTCACAAGTAAAGAATATATGCATCAAATAATGAGGATTGAACCCAAGTGGTTATAAGAAGGTAATGTTTTTAGCTGCACAGACTTCGAGTACTAGTGCTATATTATCGTTATTTAGCTTTATGTAGTGTTTATAGTGATTATATAATTGTTTATAGATTTTTTAACCAATACTTATCATTGACATATTAATAGAAAGAAAGATCAATCGTATATATATATAGTATTGTCAATTTATAAAATGTGGATAATCTTTATTAATAAAGTTAATGTTATGGATTTTTTACACTTAATTTTATGCAGTGCTTTGGCTAAAGTTCATTCAAAAATAAATGCATAAGTAATTATTATTAATAAAATCAAAAAAAAAAATTAGGTAAAAAAGAAGAAATAATAAATGTATACTTATCTCTCCTTCGAACATTTTTTTCTCACACAATTTTGTTAGAGAATTCGTAACAGTTAACACATGACGTAAAAAGTTTTTCAAGCTTCCTTGTAGGAATCGAACCTACTGGGAAAAGAAATCCCAAACCATTAGGAAGTTTTTGTTATCCCGGAAACCAGAAATCTGAAGATAACTGATAAAAACCGGGTTAGTTAATTGAGAAACGGTAATAACTAGTAAAAACCCGGTGCTAATTGATTGAGAAACGGTAATAACTAGCAAAAACCCAATTTTTTTGTTTCCCGGAAACTATAACCGGGGCATAGTTAATTGAGAAGCGGTAATAACTAGGCAAAAACCCTTTGTTTGTTTTCCCAGGAAACTCGGAACATAGAAAACTGGGGCGTAGTTAATTGAGATCGGTAATCAACTAGCAAAAACCCGGGAGGGGAGGGAATGAAGGAATAAAAAATGGCCAGGCCTCAGTCTTGAACTCACCGCAACTTTAACGGCTAGCCAATTGGCATGTCCTCCAACTAAGAAACTGACCGAGGATTTCCACTCTGACACGTTCGGACATAAAGCCCATGAGAAACTCCTCAGAATGGGTAGAGAATAGTCTCTCTCTCAAATATAAAAGAGAAATTTTTAGTTATGAAAATAAATTCATAAATCAAATTTAACCTTCAAAATGAGAGTAGATAACCAAGGGGAAACGAGAGGACGAGAAAAAAAGATAAGTTTTCAAATTTGCGAACATTGGCTTCTTTTATAAGTTTTATTTTGTTATCTCACGTGAAGTAATTCCGTTGGTGCAAAAAAATTTTTCTCATAACGGAGGCTTAGCTGCAGTTTACGTATTCATCAATTATAAACGTAACTGATATCAAAATATAAACGCGTAAAGGGATAGCATGTCAGAAATCTAAAAAAGGTATTTTTGTGTAAATCACTTGAAAAATCATGATTGACAGACATATGATATTACTATGTACTAGCTGGAAGTCAAAAAAATGAGTCTAAAAAAGGAAGTTTTGCATAAGTCACTTGAAACAAAAGATTATTTATTATATGACGCAGCTGGTTGAGTCATATAAAAAATATGACGTTAACTAATAAGTAGGGCTTAGCACAATCCAAAAAGGAAAATATACATAGCATAATAATAAATAATAATAATTGAATACATAATTGACTGATAATCGTATAAAAAAGATTATCATGAAAAATTGTAGAACAATTTTACTGTGCATATGTGATACAATAAAGAATGTACAAACTTTAAAATTTTAATGCTATGTAAAAAATATATAACATATATACGCACTTGGAGCTTTAAACAATCACTGCGAATTAACAAAATTAGGAAGGCATATGGCTGAATTCTCTATGGTCCCATTTTTATCAAAGTCCATAATATGGAAGAGGTAAGAATTTGTAGCTATCGTTTGGTATTTTGATTTTAAAGATATTTTTTTTAACTGGTTTGAATTCGCAAATTCTTTATCTATTTCAAGGTTATATCAATAATTAGTATATTTAATGTGCAAAGTTCGGTATTCTACCGTACTAAAGACAAAAAATTCCACGCAGATAAAGCTCGTCAAAATTCCATGCGACCGGGAGGGGATCATTTTATGTTGCTTAATGTGTGGGAACAAGTAGGAATTCTTCTAAATGAATTATAATTTACAAAATAAAATTCAAGCATTAATTAAATCTAATTTTATTAAAAAATTTTAAGTGGGTAGAAACCAATTATTAAATGAATTGATGTTATGAAAATTTTATTGTTTATCGTTCCATGACTCGAACAAGAGATGTTCGTGATCAGATTGTTGGTCTCTGTGAACGTGCTGAAGTAGAATTAAAACCGAATCCAAACTCGGGTGACTTATTGCCTATTCAAAAAGTAATTGGGCATCGTTTTTATATCATTTTTGACATTAAACGATTATATGACTAAAAAATTCTCGATTTAATTGGATTGGTTTTGTAGTCAATTGTGTGTCAGGGGTTTTTCATGAACGCCGCTCGAATTTCGCGTTTTGGAGAATCTTATCAAAAGTCAAATACGGAGATCCGAGAAGAACGATATATGTTCATCCAAGTAGTTCATTATTTCAAGTAAATCCGAAATGGGTTCTCTTTTATGAATTGGTTCTCGCAAGTAAAGAATATATACGTCAAATAATGGAAATTCAATACGAGTAGTTATAGTGATTTATATAGTAGTTTATAGATTTTTTAATTAATACTTATCATTGACATATTAATAAAAAGAAAGACCAATTGTTTTATATATATAATAATACTTTCAATTATAAATATTTTTTCTTTGTAATATAAAATCTGGATAATCTTTATTAATAAAGTTAATATTATGGATTTTTCTACACTTAATTTTGAGCATTTCTTTTTGCTAAAGTTCATTGAAAAATAAATGCATAGAGTAATTATTAATAATAAAATCAAAAAAAAAATTAGGTAAAAGAAATAAAGAAATATATACTTATCTCCCTTCGAACATTTTTCCCGCACAATTTTATTAGAGAATCCGTAGCAGTTATCACAACGTAAAAAGAATTCAAATGACGTATCAAGCTTCCTTATAGGAATCGAACCTACTGGGAAAAGAAATCCCAAACCATTAGGAAGTTTTGGTGACCCGGAAACTAGAAATCCGAAGATAGCTGGTAAAAACCGGGGCTAGTCAATTGAGACTGGTAATAACTAGCAAAAACCCATTTTTTGTTTTGCCGGAAACCATAAACCGGGGCATAGTTAATTGAGAAGCGGTAA